TAATACGTTCAGTCCCAAACAGCAATTATTCAACCCCATGGGCAGAATGCTTCATAAACAAAGCATTGGGAAAAATTCATTGACGTAGTGTATAGATTAAAAGAAAAGAAGAAATCATGTGATTCAATTAAATCCAATATGGTTACGTGTCAATAAGGTCATGCCATCTCCATGAAAATATTACTCATGCAATTGATCTTTTTGTACTCCACCTCCGATATAAAGACTTGTTTGGGGAAGGAGAGACTCACAGCAAGCCAAAAACAAACAATGGCGATTCGATATTTCTTCCTTCTAGTTTTTGTTTCCTCTGCAGTGTGCTCCCATGGAGCTCGCCATATGCCTTTCTCCATTGTTAATCTCGTTAAGAACACAGGAAAGTCTTCCACGATGTTTGATGAGAAGAATTTGATTCGGTGATTATTTTTCTAAAAATTTTATTTTTAATATTGCTACATCAACTTTTCAGATAATAATTTAAATTAAATATATTAAAATATATACTTGAATAAAAACGTTGAAATGCATCTTCTTTTGGGCACTTCTGATGACAGCTTGAAATTTTCTAATTGTTTTTAAAGTTATTATCTTATTATTTATTTTATTTTCTTCTTAATTTTGGTTTCTTCAATTTTAAGGTTTTTTGTACCTATGTGTATTTAAAAATTCACGTATATATAGATTTTTCTAAAACAATGGAGGTTGTATAAACTGATAAAAAAGTATAAAACCCACAAGAATATTATGATTGTGATTGTTGAACATTATTATTAATTCATATTTTATATTTAATTTTTTTTTTTCTAGATTAAAGGTATGAGACATAGAAAATTTAACATATGGGATAATTTTGTTCATAGATATCCAAACATATGTCTTCATATATATAACATTTCAAAAAAAAAATATTTTTGAAAATTTTTTTTATCATAATGAGTAATGAACTTAATATATATATATATATATATATTGAAATTTCAGAAAAGTCAACTTATGAAAGTTACGGAGATATGGCTACCGATTCATACCATCTTTTTAAGGTAAAGCTAGTTTATAAAAAAGTGAAAATAAGATATTGTTATCGATTTTTTTATATCACTAATTTCTTTCCCTACAATAACAGATGGATGTTAAGATGATGAAGATGAAGGACATGGGTGTCAATGCTTATAGATTCTCGATTGCTTGGTCTCGAATATTCATATTATATATGAATGAATATACATATTAAACTTGAAGCTACCATTTTGAAAAAAAAAAATGAAATCATGAGGATTTTCTTAAATATGTCACAGCCTTTTATTCAAATTTAAAAGAAGTTCAACTTTAATGTGTAAAAACTTGCTTAAAAAACACTTTTTTAATATAATTGAAACACAATTTGAATTTTCAAGCAAGCTACTCCGATGGTCCGAACAATCTTCTATAGCATAATTGTTTTCTGTTCTTAATAATTAATTTCACGTTCAGAGGAAAGAATAAGCGGATGAATAAATAAAGAGGGGATCCAGTACTATAAGAACCCCATCAATTAACTCTTATCCAATGGTTGTAATTCATTTCTTTGCAGTAGATTATATTTTATTTGTTCGTTCAGTAAGAATATTATCTGCATTTTGATAATATTATTTTTATATTATAATTAAATACAGATATAAAACCATTAGTGACTATTTTTCAATAGAATGTCCCTCAAACTCTAGATGACCTATATGGAGGGCTTTTAGATCGTAATTTTTTGTAAGTAATTTCAAAAGTAAAAATTTTTGCTTG